CTCCAGGTGGAGTATGCTAAAAATAGACCTTAATGGATCAGAGGGATATCCCCACACCTTTTTTGTTAAAAAAGAAAGACAGCCATATCGTATACAATAGAATAAGGGAAACCTGAACTGAGAGAAATATGTAGGCTACCATTGCTGGCCTCATTATAAAAATGCTAGAAGTATGGCTGGCTACTAACCTCTGGCTTTAAGAGGGTAACCTCTGGCTTTAAATACTCTCTGTATCACTGACCTAGATGAAACATTCTAGGTGCTAGTTAGTAAAGTCAGACAAAAGTCAGAACATCTGATCAGTGACTCAAAAGATAATGACGTTATTTGATAAGAATATCAGCCAGATAACTAATATTTTCACAAAAAGATGTCAGCAATGACAGCCTATATGTTTCTCTCAGGACAGGCTCTCTTTAAAGGAGAACTATGGGGTCAGTGTTTTTCCCTGGATCGAGAGGCGAGTGAACCCGGTATGTGTTCGCTCACCTCCCGATCTACTGAGCCGACCTGTGACAGTCTCATTGTCACAGGTCGGCTAGAACTATGAGGTGAGTGAAAAGCACTCACCTCATAGTTCTCCTTTAACATGATCTGCCAGAAAATACAGAGGTAGTTCTGGCCTTTCTTATTAAAAAGCTCAGCATGCATCCTATTTTAAAATTATGATTTTTTTGTAAAATTAAACATTCTATAGACATAAATGTATAATGAGAAAAGAGAAAAAGAGAGATTGGGAGATAGGAATCCCACACCCCTGCTGCCCCTCTACTCCCTGCTGCCCCAAGGCCGGGCCTTGGTTGGCCTTGTGGGAAATCCGGCCCTGAGGATGTCCCAGTAGTGGATATTTCAGATGAAGCTGCAATTGGGAATGGAAAATTTTGTTACACACAGCTGACTGTCTGTTCAGCACATATTATGAGGTACTCAGCAGTTATCCCCTCCCCCAAGCTGGACTGACACAGAACTAGTTGCTATATATTCAGCTACAAGTTAGTGTTCTTTAGTCTTTCAAGGTCTGAAAACCTCTTCCTACATACATGTCAGTGGTGACAATCACAGTTACAATGTGCTTTTTTGAGGGACCTGTTAGGATAGAGGTTTGGGAGCTGCCATTGATGATTTGTTATAAAGGTACATGTTCCAGGGCCATCCTCATCCTTGCCTTATTTCCTAATGAGTCACTTTATACAACCAATAAAATCTCCTAGTCTGCATCACTTTTCCAGTCCAATATTCACTCAGCTGGAGCATAAACATTTACAAACAAGTCAGCAGTAGCAGCTTCCACAAAGGTTTCCTTTAAAGTTGAAATTTAGTGCACACATATAATACCTTCCCTTGCCCCCCTGATTACCGTGCAATTCAATATTTTCAATCAAATAATTTTGTCGTGGTGATGTCATCACTGGGTCTGCCTGCTGTTCTTTGGTAGGAGGGGGAGTTCCTGTAAATGCCACAGCAATCTTTTTCAAAAAGCATTATATAAAAAAACATCTCCCTATGATCCCTTTAGATGTGCTTTTTCCTTCTGGCCACTGGGTACTGCAAACTTAGCTGTGCATTCTGTTGTTTGGTTGACTGGTTGCTGCAGACTATAGATGTGCAGTGAGCTAATTGGTAGACAAGTTGCAGGCACATCTAAAGGGATCCCAGATATGTGTTCTTTCACATAAAACTCAGGAGCAAAATAATTGATGGCAGAGAAAACTAATAGCTGTGGTTGGGGGCGGGGGTCAACAAAAGTACGGATTAGGGGGAGAGGTGACTGATGAACTGGAAATTAAGGTGGCCTCTTGAGTTATTGCAACTTCAATGCGTTATATTGTAGAGATGCACGTTTACAGGACATTGAGAGTAATGAGTTTTAACACAGAAAAGTACTTGCTACAAGTGTGGGGAAAAAAAGGCTGGAGTTCAGCTTTAAGTTCATTGACTGATCCCTACTACATCTACA